GATAGATAGATAGATAGATAGATAGATAGATAGATAGATAGATAGATGATAGAATTCTTTATTGGCCAAGTATGATTGGACACACAATTTGTCTTGATGCAAATGCTTTCTGTATATGTATGTATGTATGTATGTGTGTGTGTGTATGTGTATATATATATATACACACATACATACATACATACATACATACATACACATACAAAAGATACATTTGTCAAGAGTCAAGAATCATAAGGTACAAACACTTAATAGTAGTCATAGGCTACAATAAGCAATCAAATCATACTAGGAAACCGTGAATATAGATCGTAAGGATACAAGCGACAAAGTTACAGCCATACAGTCACAAGTGGGAGGGGATGGGTGATAAGGAGTGATGAGGAGATTAACAGTAATAGTAGTGCAGCCTTAGTAATAGTAATATAAACTTTCCAAAATAAATGAATAAATATATTTGGCTCTTCATCTTATTTTTCTTGCTTTCTTCAAGGAGCAACAGTGCTATTTCTAAATGCTACTGACTTTGACCGATCAAGAGAATATGGCCAAGAATCTATTATATACTCTTTGGAAGGATCATCACATTTTCGCATTAATGCTCGTTCAGGTAAGTACAACTACGAGTATCTCGTTACTTTTCTTGATTTTTTTTTTAATTTAATGGCTTTGTTTTCATCCATCTAACAAATTGCCCACTAAAAGAGAAATAAAAATACAGCTATGAATGTGAAGATCACACTGCCTAACACCAGAACAAAATCAGTATAGTTCTTGTGAAACATTTGTGTTATATGAATGCTCAAACTGCCCAGAATTCAAAGCTGTGTACTGCCTGTAAATCAGAGTAAATTGCCTTAAAGCTCAGGTGTGTAATCTGTTTTTGAATGGTATGCCAGAAATGGCCTGTTCCAGAAAATAAAGCCGAGACAAAATTATAATTTAATTTTAATTAGTTAAATATAGTTAATAATATCACGCCCCACAAGTAATCATTTCTCACTGTCATATTAAAACTTACAATTCAATCAGAATACACACTTTTCGAGTGGAGCGGGGCATCCAAGGATTTGGGGGAATCAAAACAAGTTGAAACTCTTAAAATGCCTTTCCTGGTGTTTTGTTTCATTTTCACTAGAAATATGAACATCTCTCAGATCTTAGTGATGGAAGTGGCATTTAACACTGAATACTATATCTGCCCACTCTTGAAATCCAAAATAAATATATGTCTGACTATCTTCCCCCTGATCACATCAATGAAATACAGGTCACAGATTATTTAAGAAATTGGTTTCACTGTCACACTGTTCTTGGGAATATCTTTCTAATGTTCAGTCAGAATCATCTTTCTTTAACCTAAATCCTGTATTCGATGTACTAAAGTCCATAATAACTGACAAAACATCTTCCTACTGGGTGACATACTTTCCAGTATATGTAGACCTCTAATATATCCCCATCAAATTCTTCTTACCTAATGACTAAGCACTTCCAACTTCTACATTCTCTCTTGACTATGAGAATCAGAATAGAAAGGTGTTGGGGTTAGGTTAATAACGGCTATCTGAACTGGTCTTAAAATGTAATGTGTTGTGACATGCTATTTGAAGTTGACTGTGACCAATGCCCACAAAAATGGGACAATCATTTCCCACGAAGTATAATTCTGTTCACATATCTCAATATTATACCTGCCATATCACGTTTTCCAACCATATTCAGTGTATGATCAACTCCTGTTCCATTATCTTTCTGTATGTACTATCAAGTCAAGTATCTCCCACCCTACATCTCTGAATTTGATTTTAAATTTCTTAAGGATTCCCATATTACTTAGTCATTTTCTCCCCAATGTTCTTATTACATGCCATATCTTCTCATTTAGGTGTTCAGACCAAGAGTAACCCGTCTTCTTAAACCTTTTTGAGAGAGAAAGATTTCAGCAAGTTGGGTCAGAAAGGAAAGACCAGATTTTATGGAGTTTGTGTCCCACTAGATATCAAGTTCATTAAATACCCTGCCATTACTATATTACTATTTCATCTGAAAGAAAGTAGCTTGTGGAAAATATATTAAAGCATCAAGATAGAAACCAGGAGACTGTTAACCCTAGTCCTGCCTTAGGTACAAAGCCAGCTGGACCAGTCCCCTTTCTCTCAGTCCCTAGGAAGGAGGGACACTTCCCAAAAATAATGCCAAGAAAATTTCAGGAAGTTGTCCAGAGAGTTGATAGAAGTCAAACTTAACTTGGAGATATGTTTTTGTATGTATATACATACATATATATATGATACTATATGTATTGTTTTTATTGTTGGGGTTTTTAAATGTTATTATTGTAAATGGCCAATAGTTGTTAGAATTTATATACACAAGTACGTGTAGCAAATAAATATCTTTAGTTAATAGCAAGAACTAACAATAGATGGCAGTACAAGTTTTGTTTATTTTATTCCAAATCTCTTTCTAGCACTACCAAGTTTATTCATTAAGATTTATGAGCAGATGTCTAATTTTTAGCACAGGTTAGTCTTCCTCCTTCTCCACTGCACCTTTTTGAACAGGCAATATCTTCTACCTGTGGTACTCCAGACATAGGACTCATCCTATCAGATCTCGGTTATAGCTATTAAATCATATTTCCTTTTTGCACTGAGTTCAAGCTAATATTGCTTACTTCCCATATGCTGTTCATTAAGCTACAGACAATGAAGGCCGTGAACTTTGGGATCCAATCTTCTTTCTGTGTTGTCACTGAATGATTTAATAGGCCTCAATGCGGCAGCGTTTTCTCTATAACCACAAATCTTTATTTGAGTTTTTTACCACAGGGTTTTCATCTCTAACCCATGCAAGATTCCGTCTCACTTACAAATGCCCAATAGATATTATTCACAGTTAGAAAGATTAGATTTTAACAAGATCTTACTAACCAGGTACATTGAAACAGAAGGAAAGGATGAAGTTACAGAATCTTGTATGTAGTTTGCAATCTATTTTTCTGTAAGTGTATTAGGTTGAGGATCCTTTAGCTGTCCGGAGGACCACATCTTAAGGCAGTGGAGAGGTTGCTGTTTGCTTTGCAGATATGGAAAGTGTTGCCCAGTAATGTTTTGCAAACTACTTTGCAGTCTTAGGAGTTGTTCTGTCATCTCCCATCCTGATTCTTGCTTCTGGCAAATATCACTAGCAGATCCGGTTTCCACACATTTGTGACAATTCTTCACAGTTATTCTTTTCTTGCAAGGTGTATTTACATCTTTTTTTGTTTTTCAACTGTCCTAACTTACATTCCACAACAATTGTTTTTCTCCCTGAAGCTGCAAAGCCAGTTTCTTCTTCAAGGACTCAAAAGCTATTGATGAGCTCTATAAGTTGGTCTTCTGAGCTTACCTTTCTTGTCTGACTGCCTTCCATATGGAGAGAAGCTTCTTCCATGATCTCTTGTAGTGCCTCCTTTATTTGTTCTAAGTTTTCATCCTGTCTCATGAGCTAGGTATGGTCAGAGTCCTCTGATTTTTTTTTTCAAACATCACTACAAGTTTGCACTCTAAATATTGTTACAAATGGTTTACAGACAGAAATATAAAAATGCCATAAGCAGGTTGCAACGAGCAAGTCCTGATTGTCCATCTTCGTTTTGTTTCATCAAGGCACCACAAATATCTATCAGTTTCTTGTTAAATTCTTAGACCCTCAAGTTAACCACCTACATTAAAAAAAATGGTTGGGGACTTTTTTCTTAGAATCTCCCAGCAAATTCTACTGAAAAACTCCTCCTTAGACTCCTGGTTGATTCAGTGAGTTTACTTCTTCAATTCGACTGCCTTCTATCACTCCTACCATCTCAGGAGGAAACAGTCACTCCCCACTGCCAATCAAAGCTCACGAGACATACTTTTGGAATTGACAGCTTTTAGGGAAAGGACTCCACTCTTTTTGTGTTTCCGTTCTGTTGAATTGAGGAATTTATCAGATTAGCAAATACTAAGAAGATGCTTATGCCTAATAGAGACTTTGTGCTAAATAGTGCAATGTTTCCCACACCTCCTTATATATTTCTTTACAAAGATACCTGTGCTTTAAGATCATCTGATGAAGTGCACCAACAAGTCCCTGCACTAATATAGAATTCTATCTTTATACTGTCTTAAAATGTTCTTATGTTTGATACCAATCCAGATATCAAGTAAAACTAGATTTGTTTGTCAGAGCTGTTTCATTTTACTTTTATAAATTTTGCTTTGAATGTTGTAATCACTTAAATCTGCTTCTCATCTAAAGTTGTAGAGAATTTGAGTTTCAATGTTAATTTAATATATTCTTTGTCTGCTTCCAGTTTTATATTTTTTTTTAATCCTTTCCATTTTAACCTGCCTATGTCTTTTCAGGTGGATCAAAACAGCAATTGTTTTTTTGTAAATCATAAAGCTAAACCTACTATTTTAATGGTTGGTGTTATTTTCGTTTTAAGTATCCTTAAAGTGTCTCTTGATGGGACAGAGTGGAGGAGGAGGAGGGGGAGGGGGAGGAGAGGAGGAGGAGGAGAAGGAGGAGGAGGAGGAGGCAGCTGGCAATAGAAATAATAGCAGGAAATGGAGTGGGAGCAGTAGTAGTATTGTTATTGTTTCTAAGGCACCCAGAGTTGTCTCTAGGCTGGCAAATAAGTAAGTAAATAGGTAAACAAACAAACAGACAATAGCATCAGTAGCATTAATATTAATTTTGCTTTCCCCACTCTTATCTTCTCAAGAGAGGCATCAACATCCATAACTCCCAGCCATCATAAGCGACTGTGGTATTAGACTGTGCTAATACATATATATATTCATATATATGTATATATATCTGTAAGCATCAGACAGTAGGAGCATAGAATCCATTCCATATCAACGATGTAGTGCAAGGATTTTTTTTAAGAAAATGATTGACTCTTGTTTCCTTGCCTGTATTTTTTCCCTAATTTGTCATTTTTCAAGCTACGGAATTGTCAAACGATCTGAAAAAGGCAGAGCAGTGTTTTTGATGTGGCATCACTTTCAGTCCCTTGTTCTCCTCCCCTGTTCTGTGGGGAAGGAGACGAACCTGGCAGTGGTTCAGGGGAGAGAGAATCCGAGAAGAACTCTGCAGGAATAGTACTGCTAAAATTAGCTGAACGTGCTCCGTGAAGGTGTGCCTAATTGGATGTAACTTTGTGGGCAAAGTGGAGCAATTCATCACTGAGACGTGTCCTTTTTCTTTAAGTCCCCCGCTGCCCCCTTTTTTTTTTTTCCCCCAGACTACAGATTAATGGGTACCACAGGAACTTGGGAGGCAAATGTATTTCAATGAATCTTTTGACCTCTTGCAGTTCAAGATCAATTTTTAATCGTTTCCTCCAGATAATCTGCTGTGGACAGCCCCTTAAAATTAAAGTGATTTGTGTTTGACCAGGGAATTGAACTTCGGTGTATACGCTGAATATGGGCGCCATGGGATGGAGGGATCAATGGACAGCTCCATCTTGGTTAGCCTACTGTACAAACAAGACAACTGGGCACCTTTCAGTTCATTATTGGAGCGATAAGAGAGAAGATCAGGCAGCTTCAGAAACCTATTAAAGTAGTATTAGGTCGTGGATCACACCTAGATAGCTTTTTCAGGCACTTCAAACCGACAGACTTTATCATGAGCTTCATAGTGTCATAGTTTAAACTGAATTTATAATTGAACATAATTGAAACATGACTTACATTATTCCAAATATTCCATAATGTATGCCATGTTTCAACTATATCCAATTAACATTGGAGGTGCATTTGATTAGTAAATCACCCCGACGTACAGTTGACCTGTGGTTTCTTTTTCCTCAGCTTTCCTGTTTTCATAGCTTCCAGCATACATCCTCTAGTTTCTCCTAATGGCTTTTCTAGGGTTTCAGATATTTTCTTTCCTTCAGGTCCACTGACTTTCTCCTTCCTGCTCAGATGCTGCAAATTTTCAGCATTTTATTATTAATGCCTTCTCTCTTAGCAATTGCAAGGTGTATCTTCTGTGACCTCATGAAAGGTAAATTCGCAAAACCTTCCAAGTGACTGCACCATGTTATTCTATAAGCTTAGGAAAATAATTTATAACTTAAATGCCTTTGAGCCTCTGGCTTCCAATTTATAAGTTCTTCTTTCCTTTTTCACTTCCCTCTCTTACCTGCTTCAGGGGAAATTACCACCACATCTCTACTGGACCGGGAAGCTAAATCAGAATATATACTCATCGTGCGAGCTGTGGATGGTGGTGTTGGTCACAATCAGAAAACTGGCATTGCAACTGTGAGTTTCACTGTAGTGATTTCATTTGTTGTTTGTAGGTTCTTTTAACAATAATTGGCCTCTCTGTCTTGAACAGAACAGAACTGTTCTTCTTTGACTTAAAAACTTTCAGATGCCCACTTGGTCAGCAGTTTAAGAAAAAAACAAAGAGGTGGAATTGTTTTGTAGAAGGCTTGTTGAAATGTCATCTCAATTTGCTCTCCCATATTAAATTACTATATGTCATTATACTACATCAAATGTATCTTCTACTTTTGTATAGATATATTTAGTAATTGAAGAACTTACTTTTCTGCTGACTGGCTTTTTTGTCATGATGTTTTAAGTGGGTGACCAAATCTTAATAGTTTTCCATAAAAGCTTAATATAGAAAAATTGATTTTACTATCCAGGTACATTTGGGTAAAAGTAAAGGTTCTCCTCGCACATACATGCCAGTCATTTCTGGCTCCAGGGGCTGGTGCTTATCTCCATTAAAAAGCCGAAGAGCCAGCACTGTCCGAAGACGTCTCTGTGGTCATGTGGCTGGCAGGACTAAATGCTGAAGGCACACAGAACATTGTTACCTTCCCACCAAAGTGGTCCCTATTTTTCTACTTGCATTTTTACATGCTTTCCAACTGCTAGGTTGGCAGAAGCTGGGACAAGTAACGGGAGCTCACTCTGTTACGCGGTGCTAGGGATTTGAACCGCTGACCTTTCTGATTGACAAGTGCTGATCTTTCTGATTGACAAGCTTAGCCACTGAGCCATCACGTCCCATTTAGGTACAATTAAAGCAACCCAAAACAGCCCTTCCACCGATTTTTAAAAAATAAGGGGGAAAAGGCTAACTATAAGGGATTTTCCTTAAGATGTTATTTTGCTTTTTAAAAAGGAGGAAGAGTAAGGCGGGATTCTGTATCATCTGCAAGATACGTCTACATTTTCTTTCCCTTTTTCTTCTGTCATGAAGAAATCCCCATCTTCCATATTCCCACTTGTATCATTTTTGTGCCTAATGAGAAGCTACGACCAGGAATAGTTGGAAAGATTATAGAGCTAGGGAGGCTGTGATAGTGTTGGATGAAGTGGTGGTATTCAAATTTTTTCACTACCGGTTCTGTGGGTGTGGCTTGGTAGGCGTGGCAAGGGAAGGATACTGCAAAATCTCCATTCTCTTCCCACCCCACTAACCTGCTTTCCAGCTCTGTTCTCCTGTGCAGGGCAACCAAAGAAGGCCCAGCCAATCAGCTGGGACTTGGGAGGCAGAGAATAGTTGGGGGCGGGGCCAGTCAGAGGTGGTATTTGCCGGTTCTCCGAACTACTCAAAATTTCCGCTACCGGTTCTCCAGAACTGGTCAGAACCTGCTGAATAGCACCTCTGGTTGGATGGAACTCAGACCTAGGTAGGTTACTCCCTATCTAGAAAAATATGCTCACCCATGTTTGGGGATTTTTCCACTTGTTAAACCCTTTCAAACTGAAGTATTTATCTTCCTGTACATTGTAAACAAAATGCCAGAGGTTGGATGTCTTTGAAAAATTGGTTTGAATTCACTGCTTACATTTTTATGAGTCTTCATTCAACTCATTATGGAGTTTTCTGAAGCTGAGAATTTTATCTTGTCAGAACAACAACAAACCTTCTGTGGGTTGACTGGACAATATAGAGATTTGAATTTTGATTTAGGAGACCTGAGTTCATACTATTGCCTCACTATTATACTTTCTGGATTATTTTGGCCAGTTATTATCATTCAATTGAGTCAAACCCACATTTTCATTTTCAAATGAGATGTGAAAATTATATACATTTTAACTTCTGCCTCTTAGCGCATAAGGTAATGAGCATGCCAAGATATTAGTGTAGCAATAATTGTTTTATAATTTTTCTCCCTGGCTTGGTATGTGTGAGGAAAATACATATTTTAGGCCATATTTAATGTGGTCTAATATTTTACTTAGAGAAAAAAGCAATATGACAAAAAAAAAAACCTTTGCAAAATTAAGGAAATATTCTCATTTGGTGTGGTCTATCGTTTGCCATAACCACTTTCTTTACCATACAGCAGAGGTCCCCAAACTTGGCAACTTTAAGACTTGTGGACTTCAACTCCCAGATTGAATAGCTGGCTGGAGAATCCTGGGAGTTGAAGTCCACAAATCTTAAAGTTGCCAATTTTGGAGACCTCTGCCATACAATATTAGAAATTCCTTCGCTTTCCTATTCTGTATTTTTTTAAATATTTATTTTCTTTTTTTTCCTCTCTTGTGCTTTTTAACTCCTTCTCCTTCCCAGATATCCTGTAAACAATCAGCAACTGCTCTTCTATCAGGTCACTGCCCCAGGGCACGCTTTTAATAGGAATTTTAAATGCTTTAAATAATTGAAAGGGACAGCAAGAGATCAAGGCAGCACGTTTAAGCTTTTCCTTTCTTTTTCCATTGCAAACTGCTTCCATGATTCGCTGTGATGTGTATATAGTTTTAGATGCGACTGTCACTTTATTGGCTATTCCGTTGCATTATTTCAAATATATATATATCTTTCGATCCGAATTCTAATTTGCCTCAAGGTTCTTTTGTGAATTCTGTAGAGAAATTCATCCCTAGTGTCATTTCTTTATTTCACTTCAGGGTAGCGTGTATCAGTAAAAACTGCAGCCTTTAGTATTACATGGGGAAAGAAGAACTGCAAAATTTCCGATGACGAGTCTGCTCTGGTCCTTATGCTTTGCTAATATAAGGTCGCGTTTCTTAACATGGGGAAAGAGCAGCAACTTTATAGCAGGCTTCCAGTACTTGAGGGGCTGTCAGCCCCTTCCCCATAGCTCCTGAGGACAGGATAAGAATAATGGATAGAAACTTACCAAGGAGAGCTGCAACCTAGAATTAAGGAGACATTTCCTGTCAGTGAGAACAATTAATCAGTGGCATGGCCAGAGGTTGTGGGTGCTTCATCACTGGAGGTTTTTAAGAAGACAGTGATTTGTCCAGAATGATGTAGGCTGTCCTGCCACGGGTAGGAAAGCTGGACTAAAAGACCTCCAAAGTCCATTCCAACCCTATTATTCTATGTTCTACGATGAATGCTCTAACATGCTGGCTGGAGAATTCCATACATCAAAAAGTTGCTGAAGTTGAGAAACACTGACCGAAGGGAATTCGGTGTTGTGGTGGCGACTATTGTTATTTTTAATTGTTATTATTTGCATCTATATCCCACCATTTCTTGGGGAACTCAAGGCATTTATAAGGAAGCTTCCCCTAATTTTTGACCACCAGAAGCATCCTTGGAGGAGAGGAGAGAGCAAACAACGAAAGCAGCAACGTGTGAATACAGTGCGAGCACCTCCCCTTGTATTAGTTCCTCAAGGTAGTCCAGATAAGATACACAACAATAGAACATAGAATATTAAGAATTGGAAGGGAGCTGGTCCAACCCCCTACCAAAGCAGGAGACCCTTTGCCATTCTGAGCAACTGTGGTACAGTAGTTAGAGTGCAGTACTGAGGGCTACTTCTGTTGACTGCCGGCTGCTTGAAATTTGGCAGATCGAATCCCACCAGGCTCAAGGTTGACTCAGCCTTCCATCCTTCTGAGGTGGATAAAATGAGGACCCAGATAGTTGGGGACAATGGGCTGACTCTGTAAACTCCTTAGAGAGGGCTGCGAAGCACTATGAAGCGGTATATAAGTCTAACTGCTATTGCTGATGCGATTGCTCTTCTGGGCAAATGGCTGTCCAGTCAACCTCTCGTCTTGTGTTTTCCTCCTTCCTTAGGGACCAGATTCAACTGATGTTGATAAGAGAAGAGAGATTTAATCCTAGATTGTGACTATTAACTCTGCATGTGTTAGGTGGCTCTTTCTCCTCTCTTCCAAGGTCATTCCTACATATTGTGTGTTGCGACCTAACTAGCAATAGATTTCTCTTTTTTCTTGCTCATCACCGTCCACAGCCAAGAAGACTATTCAGAGAGGGAGTTTCACTTGTGCATACCCTGAGAATACAAAGGGACCCCGATCCCTTGGTTTAAATAAGGCTATTTATCACTTGCTACCCTGTTATGATAGTGATTGAGGGGCTAAAGAAGAATCTGTCCATGTCAGCATGCACATTTTGGTGAGCAGTTTAACCTTGAGACATCTGCACTGCTTGAATTTTTCCAGAGTGCATTGTGTTCTCCCAAATTAAAATAGCATTTAGATCTATTGTGCTTCGGCATTGTGACTCCACGTATTACCCTGCACCACAATACTTTCTACAATGAGCAGGCCCATGTTCTCATCTGATAATTCAGATGGATCAAGTGGGGTGAGAACAGTAGGCGCAGGATGCTCTCCTTCGTAAGTGCTATTCATTTTCCATCTCTACTCGTGATGATGAATTACCTGAGTCCAGGCTACATAGTACAATCCAAGCAGTCAGGGGTGGGATTCTACCAGTTCGTTATGATTCTGCGCCGTTTGGAGAACCCGCAAATCGTGCCCCTGGCTAGTGCCCCTCCCCTCCCTGCCCAGTCAGTCCTTATCGTGCATGCGCGACATCACGCACACGCCCAACATCGCTGACTACGTTCTCCCCCACCCAGTCACTCCTTAAGGTATTTCTTTTTTTCCCCTTCCAACGATCAGCGTTCCAATGATCAGCTGTTCTGGGATCCCCCTGGCTGCAAAGGGGGGCTTGTGGGGGGGGCAAGCTGTGGTCTTCCCCGCACTCCATTTTTTGCCTTCCTGGGCCCCAGGGAAGCCTTCTGAGAGCAAAAACACCCCCCCCCGAGGCTCCCCTGAGGCCCAGGAGGCAAAAAATGGGGGGATGCTGCAAAAAAAAAAAAAAGAAGAAGAAGCCATGCCCACCCAGTCACAGAACCAGTTGTTAAAAAATTTGACTCTCACCCCTGCAAGCAGTTACTTCCTGTTTATCGACTTGACTGACTACAGGTAGTCCTCAACGTACGACCACAATTGACTGCAAAATTTACGTTGCTAAATGAGACATAACAAATGTAAGTAAACTTTGCCCCATTTTAGTTTAGTTTTAGTTTAGTTTACTTTATTGTCATTGCACCACGTACAACGAAATCAAACACCATCTTCAGTGTACATCATGACCATGAAAATGAACACAAACACACATCCTTCATACTCCGCACATTGAATTGAAAACCCCTGACACCGTACCAACACTGCCCTATACAGTAGAATTCAACAGAGCTACTGCCCTGGGATAGAAGCTGTTTTTCAGCCTATTTGTCCTTGTTTTTATTATTCTGTACCGTCTGCCAGATGGTAAAAATTCAAAAAAGGGGTTCCCAGGATGAGATGGATTTTTGAGAATGTTTTGAACCTTCTTAAGGCAGCGGGAGCTATAAAGCTCTTCCAAAGAGGGGAGAGGGCAACCAATGATCTTCGGGGCAATGACATTAACCCTCTGGAGTGCTGTCCTATCTGCCACTGTGTAGTTTGCAAACCATACAGAGGTGCAGTAAGTTAAGATACTCTTTATGGTGCAGTGGTAGAAGGTCACCAGCAGTTGCTTATTCAGTTGTTGTTTTCTGTGAAGTCTCAGGTAGTATAATCTCTGCTGGGCCTTTTTGACCAGTCCTGCAATCTTTACATGGTTGTTAAGTGAATCACTGCAGTCCTCGAGTTAATAATGCAGTTGCTAAGTGAATCTGGCTTCCCCATTGACTTTGCTTGTCAAGAAGTCTCCCACTGTAACTACATAGCCAAAAAGGCATTAAGTTGTTAATCTAATCCTATGTAGCTTCTTCTCTGGTAATATCACACTACTAACTAGAGCATACAAAACATTTGCTAGACCTATACTTGAATACAGCAGCTCATCAGTCTGGAACCCACGTTACGTATCTGATATTAACACAGTTGAGAAAGTCCAGAAATATTTCATAAGAAGAGTTCTCCACTCCTCTACTCGTTGCTGAAAATCTTATGCCACCAGACTTGAAACTCAATCATAACAATACAAGAGCACACAATAGATACAAACTCAAGGTTAACCACACCAAACTTGACTGCAGAAAATACGACTTTAGCAACAGAGTGGTCAATGTTTGGAATACTCTACCTCAGGGGTCGTGAACCTTTTGGACCTCAGAGACTACCAAACTCATAATTTTAAATTCCAGGGACCACTAACCGGTTCTGTGGGCATGGCCTAATTTGTGGGTGTGGTTTGGTGGTCAGGTGACTGGCTGGGCATGACTTGTATGTAAAAATTATAAATATTTAAATATTGAATTTTTTTATTAAAAAGAGCAACTTTTACCCAAAATCAGGCAAAGCAGGCAGATTGAGTTGCTCACAGAATCATACAATGATCTATCTATCTGCCATCGGCTAGCTCAGTCTCTCAAATTTAATTGCCGTGAGTCTGCACTGAATTTGCTTGCAAGCAAACCTTCAGTCCTAAGGGAGGCTCGGCTGTGCTGAGTCAAAGATCTAAAGACTCGCTAGAAAGCAAGAAATCCAACCATTTCCTGCTTCCTAGCTAATCTAAATCTCCCGGCACAGCAGAACAGATGATGGTTGGAAAAAGGTAAAATAGCAATTTAGTAGGCAAGTTTACCGGGTAAGGAATGAATGGGTGGGGAGGGTTCCCACGGGCCATGTGGGTGGCGCAGCCTTGTGTTTCTGCGCAGCCTGGATTAATTGCTTTGGGGGAGGGGCTCTGGAGGTGAGATTTCTCTGCAGCCCAACAAAATTTTCTCACCGCCCACCTGTGGGCCGTGATCCACCGGTTGGCGACTGCTGCTCTACCTGACTCTGTGGTTTCTTCCCCAAACCCCAAAAACTTTAACCTTAGACTGTCTACTATTGACCTCACCCCCTTCCTAAGAGGCCTGTAGGGGGCATGCATAAGCGCACCAACCGTGCCTACTGTCCCTGTCCTATTGTTTCTTTTTATTTTTCTTATAAGTATCTATCTCATGTGTTCAAAACTATATTTATTCTTATACCTGTATCTTGTAAGCGATTGACAAATCAAATAAATACTAAATACTAAAATGTGATCGTATGGCTTCAGGACACAGCTATGGTCATATATACAACTCAGTTGCCAATTCTGTATTTTGGTCACGTGACCATAGGGATGCCACAGTGCTTATTGCTGTGAAAAACAGTCAAAAATCACTTTTTTTCAGTGCCGTTGTAACTTCAAATGATCACTAAATGAACTGTTATAAGTCAAGGACTACCTGTATGTTCTTCCATAGAACCTTTTAACACTATTTCTGGTAGTAACTTCAATTCTCTTCTTTGTTGAAATCCACTGTCATGAAATAATTACAGTAAGAGGGGAGGAAACTGTATCAGTTGTTACGTTCAAATGAACTGACTCTCAAATAAAAGGATTTAGGTTTTTAGTCTAAATTAGAAATATTTAGTTTGCATATTATCTAAAAGTTATTGTGGCTGACTGTAGATTTATCTACATAGGATAAAGAAAGTGTATGAACCCTTCATTAAAACTGGACATTCGCTGATTTATCTCATTCTTGCATATCCCAAATAATTTTAGGAAACAAAGAGCAAAGCAACATTTAAAAATGAGTTTCTGCTGGTTGAGATGCTAAATTACAAGCAGAAAAACCCAAATTCTAGTCCTTCCTTAAAGATAGAAACCAGCTGGGTGACTTTGAGTCTAGTGAAGAAAAGGACCAGGGGAGACATGATAGCAGTGTTCCAATATTTGAGGGGCTGCCACAGAGAGGAAGGGGTAAAGTTATTTTCCAAGACACTCAAAGGCCTGACAAGGAATAATGGATGGAAACTGATCAAGAAGAGACTCAACCTGGAAATAAGGAGAAATTTTCTGACAGTGAGAACAATCAACCAATGGAACAGAACTTGCCCTCAGAAGTTGTGGAAGCACCACCACTTGAGACTTTCAAGAAGAGATTGGAGTCCCATCTGTCAGAAAAGGTGTAAGGTCTCATGCTTGGGCAAGGGGGTTGATCTGGATGACCTACAAGGTCCCTTCCAACTCTGATTATCTGCTATCTGTTATCCTTTCTTAGCCTTAGAAAGGAGACAACAACAAATCATTTTAAAATTTTGCTAAAAAGATCCTGAATGGTTCTATCTATGAAGTTTCCAGGAGTCTGGACACACAAAAAAACAGTACTAAATCACATTATTTTGTACAAGAACTTCATCTAAGCTTCCTGATTTAATCAAAGCATAGAAAGAAAATACAAGTTTTTAAAACTAACAGATTCATTCCAAATATGGTTAGAATATCTGTGAAAGAAATATTCAGCATGTTGTGTGCAACTAAGAGGCGATCCTGGAAATGGTAGAGGAAACTGGTAAGAGAAAAATTAGTCAAGTATGTTTGTTTCATGACTCATGCATTCATCGATAGAGGTGCTGACATTGTCAGAAAAAACTAAGCAGAAAATTTCAAAAAGCTTCCTGGAGTTAATGTCAGGATTCCGGCAGTCACCCCAATTAAATCATGAGTCTCGAGCCAAACTTCCAAAACTTCAAAAGGATTTATTGGGAGTTAAAAGGTCTGGCACTGCCTGGGGGTAGCTGATTCTGCGATACATCATTCACTGTCACCCTTGAACCTGGTTTCCCCCCACCCCCTGGGTGTATCGTAATTTGTATTCTCCAATGGGACACATCCATAGCCAAGAGTCATCAATCATGTTCTCCAGTTAGATATTTGCACGGCAGAAACTTCAGTCACTTAGTTACCATCTTTGAAAACTATTTATGGAATGCACTTTCGATTTCCAAGCTGCCGCACTGCTCTTTCAAACCCCTTCCCCCCCCCTCCCTTTCTGTTGGCAACTCTAAAAAGACATGTTTTATGAGCTGACAGTTAAAGTTCAGAGATTAGAGGAGGGGAGTTATTAGTCCTTCTCTAATGAAGAAGACGTTTGTAAAGGTGCTATAGTAATGCTGGGAGAATCTGAGTGGAATACCTGAAAAAAAAATGTGAATTTACAACTGTGGTTCTTTTCAGGTAAACATCACTTTGCTGGACATCAATGATAATTATCCTGTATGGAAAGATGAGCCGTACTTCATCAACCTAGTGGAAATGACCCCTCCCAACTCCGATGTCACAACAGTAGGTGTCCAAGTATGCAACACACACCCTCCTGTGCTGCGGCTTTTTATTTCTCGTATGCAAAAATCACCGTTTGAACTCTCTTTAAGCTTTTCCCTGCCTGTTGGTTAAAATATTTAAAACATATTTATAAAATATTAAAGGGAGGGAATGAAGTACACATGGAAACAGGATTCCACAAATACTTTAAAGCTAGGGGTCTCCAACCTTAGCAGCTTTAAGACTTGCGGACTTCAATTCCCAGAATTCCTCAGCCAGCATCTCCCGGGGGGGGGGGGGGCGGCTCTGGACCAATCATCTTGTCTCAGCTCAATGGGTATTGTTATTGTAGAGGAAAAATAGGGGAGAGAGCTAAGGTTGGAGACCCCTGCTTTAAACTACATGATCCCCCAAAATGTATACATTTATAAATGCTTGTCTAGCCTATCCCAAGAAAGCCATTTGGAGGAAGGTGGCTTACAAAAGAAAACGAGCTAATGGACAAATATAATTAGCACGCGTACCAACCTTTTCACTGAATACATGTTCGAACTGATGTCATATATAGAGCCTACACAGAGCCTATAGTGGTCTTTACTCTGGCTTCAAGACTGACTTAGAATCTCTTTTATATATTCACGAATTCATTCCTGACTCCAATATTTGTCCCTTCTTATTGTTAAGGTACCACTTCCACCATGAATGTTATCTAGCTAGTTCTGTTGCGCCTATCATAAATGGTTGTTGTTGGTTTTTTCCTGCTGCTGCTTGTGTGGGGCACCATGTTAAGACCTACACAGGAGTGGGATTCAGCCGGTACGGACTGGTTCAGACGAACTGGTAGTTCCAGCGATGAGTTGGTCCCGCCTACCCGCCTCTGCCCCAGTCTATCCTTTTTTTCCTTTGTTTGAAGCCAGGTTGATCTGCGCAGCAGAGTGGATTGCCGCGCCTCAGCTGTTTTACTCACTGGGGTTGCGGGAGAAGGTAAGTTTTAGAGCTGTTTTCAAAAGCACCGTGTGCTCCCTGAACCAGTCGAATCCCACCACTGGACCTACGCATCTATTCAGGGAAGCCCAGGTGCTTACTGCATCTCATTTGCTTCCGTCGGAGTATACTCATGAACTGGAATAGAGCTTGGTAATAAGGTCAGCCAATGAATAGGCATAGCAACTAAGTCAGCCAATGAGGATAGATTGGAAACTGAAACTTGAAATAGCCTAGGCTGGAAACTGAAACTAAAAGTAGGCTAGGCGTGGTTCTATGTTAAGCTCTGCAACTCAGCTCTGTTGAGCTCCGAGTCTGTCTATTGAGATGAAACTACTTCTCTCCTCTTGTTTGCCTGCTGATCTTTCGAAGATGAAACTAAATTGCTTACTTGCTGAAGGCTGGAGCTCTGCTCTGAACTTGCAACGTGTTTCTGTTTGAGTTTGCTCCATGTTGGAGAAATCTACAACTGGTTTGTAAAATCCTATTATGTTTATAACGATGTTAAATGAAGCATCAGCCATCTGTGTTTATTTTTCCGGTGCTGAATTATCGCTGCGAAACTCTCAATAGCTTCTTGGACACGAATGACAATACTTTACAAGAGGAGGCAGGAAGAGAGAATTGGCCATTCTCTGATTTTGCTTAATACCTTTCTGGTTGTTTTTTTTTTATTTTTTTAAATAAATTTTATTGAGTGTACACATTAAAAACATTGAACATGGTCTTCTTTGACATACATTTTTGTCAGTGCATATTACATTCAGAAAGAAGTTATGTACATATATATACATAAAGTATGTATATTTATATACATGTTATACATTTGAACTTTATAATTTTTAATTCTTTTTCATTACTCCTCAGATAAGTGGTCCCTCACATCCTCCCTATTTCACTTTTAATTCTTATTCCAATTTTATGAACTCCGTTTCATATCCCTCCAATAGTAGAATCTGTTCCATATTCTGTGGTATTCTTGACTCGTCTTTCTCCTTCAGTTCTAATGTCAACCTATCCATTTCGGTGCATTATAGTATCTTATCGATCGTATCCTCCTCCCTAGGGATTTCTCTTGCCTTCCAATTTTGGGCAAATATCATTCTTGCTGCCGTGATAACATGTATTATTAGATAAATATCAGCTTTGCTAAACTTCTCTTCCATTATTCCCAGTAAGAACATCTCAGGTTTATAACAAATTTTTAACCCCATCATTTCCATAACCAAATTCTGTACCAGAACTCCTGAGACATTTTACAGGACCGCCATATGTGGTAATATGTGCCCAGTTCTTTCAGACATTTCCAACAGTTAAGTGTTTCTATACATTTTGGCTAATCTTGCTGGTGGGAAGCTTAATACCTTTCTTTAAATCGCTACCTCCCAATAGACCAAAAAGGTTGGTATTCTGTTGTCTTTTATAATTACTAGCTGAATATAAAGACAGACAGATAACTCGACAAAGGCTTCCATACGAAGTTTCTTTATTGGCTCATAAGGCATCCTCAAATATAACTCACGGTTATGTCAAGATTCATTTTAATGTCCAAATCTTTCCATAGTCATCTCCATAGTGTAAAAAGACAGTTCTCTTCATCCCATAGTGATAGGGCAGAGGGAGCCAGCATGCGACCGGGTCCAGACAAGGAAAGGGAACAAAGGGCTTCCCCGCAACCCAACCAAGGGTCAATTCAGTGACCAATCAGGATTACAGATGTGACCACCTGACATGGACTACATTTCCCATGATGCCTTAACTACATTTACCATGATGCATTCCCTTAAGGGGACAGCTCCCAATTCTAACTTAACTAACTCAATTCCCATTACCTCTATATACTGCCTGGACAGCACAGTTGGCCTTTGTCTATTCTTTGTGTGCTCTGTGGACTGCCCCACTTCCCAAGCCATCTGCAGGCTATAAATTGTCAAGCCTGGTTTATTGTTTCTGAATATGATGTAGTAGCTGCAGCTGGTTTGTTCAGTGTTTCCTTCTGCTGGTTTGTGCAGTTTAATAGCAGCGTGTCTGAGCATCAGCGTAGGAGGAATCCTGCTGGGTTTCAGCAGTCTTAAGTAAATTTTCTGGGAAATAAATCCAATTGCAATGAAAGGAACCCAGCTGGTTAAAATCTCACTCTAGAGCTGCAACTGTAGGTTAGGGTTGCCTTTGTGACTTTTTTTTTATTTTATTTGAACTGTAAAACTTTCAGTGGGGAACACCAAGGGTTAAGTGGAACTTGCCCCATGTAAAAAATTTGCTTATCAATTTTAGGAGTCAGGCTTATCTGATTGGACGTTAAAGTATTATAAGTTATTTTTAAGTCATAACTGGATTTTCTGAAATTTAAAGCAGTGTTTCTCAAACATAATAATTTTAAAGATGTGTGGACTTTAAAACCTAGAATTCTGGCTGGGGAATCCTGGGAGTTAAAATCCATGCATCTTAAAAGTTGCTAAGGTTCAGAAACACTGATTTAAAGTCTCGTTTATTGTCTCATAAAGTTCCTTGAATTGTCTGTAACGGTCCATGAAGGCTCAAGGTAGAAACTTTTGAAACAAATTGCAATAAATTTGCAGACAACAGCGGAGGTCAGTTTTAAAGCCCACCATAAAAAGTTTACATGAAGGAAGCTCTCATGTTACTTTTTCACTGTGCAGTAATAAATATACATGTCCAAGAAGGATGGAATCAAGAGAAATGCCAGCGTAACCAATCCTAGCCCAGTTCGTGCTCGCGATTTAATCAAGCCGTCACACTTTTTACAGGGAACACCAGGATTCCTTAGAATTAGATTGAGGAGCACTAAAGTTCATCCAATTGTCCCAGTATCTCCGATGGCTGAACTTTGCAGCCAACAGCAGATAAGGCATGTGAAAAGTCACACTCCTTGCAATGTTATTTTATCAATGTATCCTGTAACATAAGGAGCTGTGATGGCACAGTGGTTAGAATGCAGTATTGTAGGCTAACTCTGCCCGCTACCAGGAGTTCGATCCTGACTGGCTCAAAACGTTGACTCAGTCTTCCATCCTTCTGAGGTTGGTAAAATAAGGACCCAGACACTTGGGGGGCTTTGTAAACTGCTTAGAGAGGGCTGTAAAACACTATGAAGTGGTATATAAGTCTAAGTGCTAAATGCTATTGTTTTAAGGCTTAAATTCCTTCATGTCCAGTTCCCACACTACAAATTCTCTTGGTTGGATAAACATAAACCACAGACATGCATAGCCCTTAAACTGCATCTATAGCCCCCAATTTTGCAAGCCTTCCCGGCCTTTCTCTTTCTGTGTGTGGGCGAGTCCATGTCTTAGGGTTCTGTGGTGGTGGTTGTCAGCGTTCCAGCAAAACTCCATTCCACCCAATAACTCCGAGACAGACGTATCTCAGAGGTTCCGTCTATTCGAATAGTACAACTGTGGAATCCCGAATCGGAAAGTTCCAGGCTTCCTTACAGGAAGTAAAAACTACAAACCCATCCCTTACACCCATCCCCACATCACGTAGCCCAATCGCCATCCGTCCCAAAGTAAGACTTCCTCTCACTTATGTGCAAAACAATTTGACCTTGAATCAGAAAAAGAATGTTATTATGTCTAACTAGATATACTCCAATGAACTCCTTCCTCCCACTTTCCCAGCGTGGGAGCATCGGATCTCAATATGGTTTCCAAAGCTGACAGGTTGTGTTTTTTTTTAAAAAAAGTTTAAAAACCCGACCAATTTCAACTTTTTCAACCTAGTTTGCGACCTCCTTCAAGGACCTCTTTGAAAGGCATTGATTTAAAGCCCTTCAAATCCCACTGGCAAAATAAAAGGGGGAGAAGGGAGAATTATTCTCCATCACGCTAGGAGAAAAATGATGGGCGTGAAACAGAAAATAAATGAGGGGAAAGTGAAGAGAATCCACAAAATCATCAAACAAGAGGACCCTGCGTTAAAAAAAAAAAAGCCCATAATGAAACATTAACCTTCTGGGGAGGTGTGGAAATAGCAAAGGTCTCCAGTCCAAGTTCACTCTTTGTAAATTAACTCTC